TCTTATACCTCCAGGAGTGATGTTTGAGCACAGAAACCAGGCATAAGTCCTGAGCATCACCAGTTGTGGTCCCAAACAAAAACAAAAAACAAACAAACAAACAAACAAAAAACAAAGACATTCTGAGCATCACCAGTAGTTGTGGTCCCAAACCAAAAAACAACAACAACAACAACAACAAAAATAAAGACATTAAACAGGAGTGTGTAGGTCACTTGACTTTTTAGCTGTGTATTGATAGAGCTGTTATGACATAAGCAATGGTAAATCTGTATATGAATTTGGATGTACTGAAAGTCACAGTTTCCATAAGAATTTTCATGTGAAATTAAGTTTCTTATTTTCTTACACCAAAATGCACTGTGAGAAACAACAGGAGAGGACCAGAAAGTGTGTGCGTGCGTGCAGCCACTAGGACAGGAAAATGAGTTACTAATATTGAATAATTGAATATAGTTGAGGCCCAGAGGCCTGGGAAAATATGCTGAATTACATAAAGAACAAACAAAGCCCCTGGTAAATTTACTGTAATAAGTCACAGAGAAATCACTGTTTATTCTACATCTCTGAAAGAAATCACTGCAAATGGAACACATCTGACAGGTACTGGTCCTGGATTGCAAAGGAGGAGGAAGAGGGCACTTTCTGGGTCGACTGTCATTCTTGCGGCTGACATCTGCCACCGCCAAAATATGCAGCATTTTCCTGTGTGAAACTAGTTGCCATGTGTCTTTTTAAGCAGCAGGTAGAGATTTGACAATCATTCTTTGGTTGGTTTGTTTGGCGACCACACTTGGCAGTGCTCAGGGCTTCCTCCTGGCTTTGTGCTCAGAGATCACGTATGATGGGCTCTGGGGATCAAATGCGGTACCAGGGATCAAACCTGGGCCTGACTGTGCACAAGGCAAGTGCCCTACCCACTGTACTATCGCACCACCCCCAATTTTTGTTATTTCTCTATTGTGAAGTTTTTGCTTTGTTACTCTTTTCCCCTTCCTTTCATCACTTCCTTTTTCATAGTGGTAATAGTGTGTGTGTGTGTGTGTGTGTGTGTGTGTGTGTGTGTGTGTGTGTTTGTGTGCAGGGAGGGAGGTGTTGGCGGTGCAGGGGGATGGTGTTACACATGCTTGTTTCCAGTGCTCTAACACATTCTGGGTGTAATGCCTGCCAGGGTCTAGGTGCTGCTGGCACCCATGCCAATGGCAGGGCTGCACCCAGGCTGTGAGGAAGTGAGGGCGGGTGTCTCAGTTCAGTGACTGGACTGTACTTGTTGCTGTGGGCAGCCCCAGGACTCAAACTCCTCCTGCTCAGGGCCCTCACGTGTGTGGTGCGGGGACTTTTAGCCTCTCAGCCATCCCTGGTGCCCAGCAGCTGGAGATGTTCAATGTCAGATCCCTTGAGAAGGATTTTCTTCTTTTAGGGTCTCTGCTTCATTCAGCTGTTTGTCAGGCCCAAGAGTTTTATCACTGTAGCCAGGGATGAAGCTGGAGGGAGAACATTATCTCCGAACTGGTCAAATGACTCATTGCTGGGCTTTTAGAGGAGCGTGTCCCGTGTCTTCTCTGAGAGGTGGTGTGTATTTCACAGCAGTGCTGTGGAGGCACATTGGCAGCTCTGGTGAGCGGTGAGGGGTTGGCATTGAGGGATTGTAGGCGTCAGGGCCGTTTTCCAGTGCCTTCTCTTCCAGCTGATTTCCACATGAGTATTATTCAATGAGTATTATTCAATACACCTAAAAATAGGAGATGTAAAAATGAGGTCACTATAATCCAAATTTTTTCTTTCAGCAGTTTCAGTTATTGAGAAGGAAAATCCTGCTTTGGGGCAGGGTTCTGGCATTTCATTGACAACCAGGAATGGCTAATCGAGAAGCCTTGGCCCAGCTGGGCTTGCTGGGAACAGGGCTTTGCAGGAGAGACTGAGCTGCTTTGCCGTATTGCTCCCTGGCTGATGGTGTTGGGATCCGGCTGGGTCTGGCTCTGCAGTACATATAGCAGAAGGGGCTGGAGGACAAGTGTTTGGGTGACACCTCCCACTGACTTCCTGGACTGACTGTTCTGGTCCCTCTGTCTCAACACCCACCATTTTGTCTGTGGTTCTTTCTGTCCCAGCCCTTGCCCCCCTGCTGTTCCGTGACCCCCCCCCCCCCCGCCTCCCCACCTCTGCTAGCCTCTTCTGCTGCCCATTCTTCCTGGGGACGCTTCTCCGACTCAGGCGTGGAGACCACCTCCTCCTTCTGGCCCCTGCTTTGGTCTGCTCAGCTGCACTTGTCTTTCCTGTGCTTAACATTCCAGAAGCTGTGCTGTGTACTGGACATTTTGTTTTTAATCTTTTAAAACATTTAGGTATCATTGAAATAGGATATTCTTTATAGCAGGTGTACAATGTACTGGTCCCGTAGTTGTAGCAAAGTAGCACTGTCCTCCTGTTGTTCATCGATTTGCTTGAGCGGGCACCAGTAACATCTCACAACAAATTGTGAGACTTGTTGTTACTGGGTTTGTTTGGTTTTGTTTTTGTTTTTTTTGCATATCAAATATGTCACGGGGAGCTTGCCAGGTTTTGCCTGCCTGTGCTGGTGAGATACTCTCGGTAGCTTTCTGGACTCTCCAAGAGTGGCGGAGGAATCGAACCCGGGTTGGCTGTGTGCAAGGCAAAGCCTTACTTATTGTGCTATTGCTCTAGCCCACCCATAGTTGTATTGAGAGGAATCTAGTGAGCACCCATTGCTATGTAGAGTAGCTAGACATGTTTTTCCCCCTGTGATAAAAATTTTTAACATATACTTGCATAGAAAATTTTCAAGTCTATTAGCCTGTGTTAATTAATTTTTTTTTAAATTGAGTCACCATGAGATACACAGTTACAAAACTTTCAGTCGTACAATGATCCAAAGCCCATCCCTCCACCAGTGTCTATTTCCCACTACCAAAGACCCCAGTTTCTTCCCACTACTCCTCTCCCTGCCTCTGTTAGGCTGTATTCTTAACTCTAGTCACCACCCTGTATGTCACAGCCTGTCACTGTCACTGTCACTGTCCTCCCATTGTTCATTGATTTGCTTGAGCGGGCCCAGTAACGTCTCCATTGGAGACTTTGTTGTTACTGTGTCTGGCATATCGAATACGTCACAGGGAACTTGCCAGGATCTGCCGTGCGGGCAAGATACTCTCGGTAGCTTGCCGGGCTCTCCGAGAGGGGCGGAGGAATTGAACTCGGGTCACCATGTTGGCTGCGTGCAAGGCAAACGCCCTACCGCTGTGCTATCGCTCCAGCCCAGTTACAGCCTAATAAATGATTTATTTGATAGCTGGGAGACTCTACTTGTAAACTCATTCACCCATTTTGTCCCACATCCCACTTCTGGCAGGCAACAGTGTTTGGTATATCATTGAGCTGCAATACTTCCTTTCTTGTTTGCTCATTGTTGTTTTGTTTTTGTTTTTGTTTGGTTTATTTTTTTGGCCACTTCCATCAGTGTTCAGGGGTGACTTCTATCTCTGCACTCAGGGATCACCCCTAGTGGGCTTGGGGGTCATATAGGATGCTGAGGATTGAACCTGGGTTGGCTGTGTGCAAGACAAGTGTCCCCCCGCCCCTGCAGTACTGTCACTATGGCCCTCATTATTGTTTCTGATCCAGCAAGTCAGTGAGTTCCTCTGGCATTTGTCTTTCTCTGCTGACTCCTTTCACTAGGCATAACACCTTCAAGGTCCTTCCATGTAGCTATAACTGCTCAGATTTCCCTTTTTGTGGCTGAACAGTATTCCACTCTAATTTCCCACATTTTCTACATGCTTCTCCATTCATAAGCATATAGGTATCAAGTTGTCTTTGCCACGTCCACTGAACAATTGACAGAACCTCAAGAGGTACCAATGGCAAGGATGCAGTAAATATTCATTGAACAAATGAATAATCATCCAAATGTGGCATGAAAATATATACCTTATTTGGCTGTCTATGCGTGATTTTCATAAAATCAAAAGTTGGAAATCTGGAATTTGTTTTTCCCTTCACAAGTCTGCAATGGGCGATTTGGACTTAGTATTCGTCTTATTTAGTGCTGTAGGTCTGGAGTGGTGTTCACTCATTCCTTTCCCCTTCTCTCCTGGATTCCAAATGCATATAGTTGCACAGAAGAGTTGGCTGGAAATTGGCATATGTTTGCTTAATGGAGCAGCTGCCCAGTAACCAACAGTAGGGGAGGAAGAAGGTGTGCGGAAGCAACCTAGATCCAGGGATGTCAGCTGGGTTCAGGCATCCCTAGTGGATCACTGCTTCTCTGCCGTCCCTTCAAGTGAAAACAGAGTGCTCTGACCCGAGGTATGACTCAGAGAGCAGAGAGCCCTCCTCTGTCCTCAACTGACTGGGAGCGGGCCTTGAAAAGCAAACTGGAGTGAAAAATGTGAAACTGTGGTCCACTCGATATCAGCTTCCACTACTTCCATTCGAAAGCTCTTCTCATGTAGAAATTTTTCAATAAGTCAGTGGAGAGATGTCGAATGGTTGAATGACTCCTGCTGTACCATCCTCAATTGGAAAGTGTGCTCAGTGCCCTTTTCTGGGTGGGAAACAAAGGGGGGCGGATTGCCACAACCACATTTGTTCCCCAAAACAAGGCAGTTGCAGGATGTATTAAAATATTCCTATAAAAATAATTTTGACCAGAAGAGAGCTCTCAGCACCGGATGTTTCTGAGAGTTGATTGCACTTGTGAGTCATCAAGACATCTGCCAAGGGAAATAGTAGGCTCTGTGTGGACATACGTTTCAGGGGGAAGAATGCACGTTAATCCAGCATCTACTCAACACCAGCCGGTAAGAAAGGCATACGTGGGGCTGAGATGTAGCTTTGTGGTAGAGTGCTTGGCCCTGGGTTTGAGTTCTTCTCCCTTCAGGAAATAGAAAGGCACATGAAAAAATACATGTCCTACCTTTGATCTAGTTAGTGTGGCTCCTACTGGCTTCTGGCATCAACTCTAGCCTCTTATGTTGCAGGTCCGTGGAAACAAGGGTGAAGTTCTCTACATTTTGGATGCTACTAACCCACGACACTCTAACTGGCTTCGCCTAGTGCACGAGGCACCATCTCAGGAACAGAAGAACTTGGCTGCCATTCAAGTGAGCTTATTTGCTTCTTATTTGTACTATGCACCATGAGGGGAATGAACTAATTTATAACTGTACTCCCTGTTTTAAATTTATTTCCCAATGACCTGCTTCAAATAACAGTAACTAACTCATAAAAAACAGAAATCTCATCTCGTCAGCATATGCAGGCAAGGGCAAGCCCAGCTGTAAATTGACACCAGATCACTCACTTTATGGGAATTCTTGAGGGAATGAATTACACGCTCTGATATTGTCCTTGGCAGGTCTTGCTTTCAAGTACTTTTAATTCATTCAGTGAGTGTTTATTGATAGTTTTTTATTATTATTATTTGATGGTCTATTTGGCTCATAGCACAATATTCTGTGCTATTGTTTGGGAAAGGCTTCCTGGAGAAAGTTTGCTTGGGTATATCCCTCTGGCTAGACTTTATACTCCGCTTTAAAAGTGGAGTACTGTCTCCTTTTGAGTGCTGTGGTTTGCAAAAGAGACATTGAGTGGCAATCATGTTTGGTCTATAGTCTCCTCTCATCACGCATCTCCCATCCTGGGAGGAACCTCCCAACACCCTTTATTTGGTGCTCCCTTCTCTATCTGAGCTGCCTTTTCCCCAAGCGTGTGCGGCTGGCCTCAAAGCCATGGAGTAATCCTCTTGATACTTATCTCGGATGTTCTTGGGTGTTAGTCTCCTATTTTGTTACTTTATGTTTTCCAAATGATGCAATCTTTCTGTGTCTTTCCATCACTTTCTGACTCATTTCTCTTAGCATGACACTTTCCATGTAGAGGAGAGAGATAACAGAAGGGAATGCCCTGCCACAGAGGCAGGGTGGGATGGGGGACTGGGGGGCTGGGAGGTATACTGGGATCAGTGGTGGTGGAGAATGGGCACTGGTGGAGAGATGGGTATTCGATCATTGTATAACTGAAACCCAAGCACAAAAATTTGTAAGTCTACAACTGTACCTCATGGTGTTTCACTAATAAAAATTTTTAAAAAATAAAAAAAATAAAATCTGCTTTAAATCAATGTGAAGAAAGAAAATTTTTGATCAATAATTCTCAGAATTTCTGGCAAATAAAGACTTTAAAATCATTTTTAAAAAAGTGGAGTACTATAGGGTCCTTCAGTGCAGGAGAAACAATAGGAACTCTTTCCCTTTGGAGAGAGACTGAGACAGTGAGACCTAGAGGTTTATTATAAGAAGATGGGTTGCCTCACATGCTAGTTATGGAGTGTGTTAAGTCAGAAATCTGCAAAGCCACTTCGCTTTGCTCTGAGTCCATAGCCACAAGGCTACCGTGGAAGGGGAAAGAGCTAACCCGTAAGATGGACCACAGAGCCAAGGCAACCAGAGGTTGGCAGGGGGTCAGTGGTGGAAAGAAGCATTCCCCCAGGCAGGGATATGTGCACTTGTCAGCATTGTGAACTGAAGCAGAAACATATACCTCGGTGAAATAAAGCAGAAAAGAACAGAAAGAAAATCTCTCATGTCTCAGTTTCACGGTTGAGGTCCCACAGGCGGCTTGGGGAGGCAGGAGAGGCCCCCGGGCCTGCATAAGAGGCTGTGGGGTCAGAGACGCAGAACTTCCCCTTTGAAGACCACTGGACAGCTGGATGCTTCTTTCACTTAGAAGGGTCTTCATTGATTCTGTTCAGGCCCACCCACATTGTGCTTTGCTTCATCCCCTATTCAGATGTTAATCTTCCACAAAAATACCCTCACAGAAGCACCCCAAATAATGTCTGTAAACAAACATCTGGGCAACTTGTGACCTGTCAAGTAGACACAAAGGTAGCCATCCCAGGTAGGAACCAGGGCTTACCAAATTCCAGGCTCTTGTGTTTTAGTGTTTCTCTGTATGTCACCCAAGGCTCTGGTCTGAACTGTTAGTTGCACTTAAGTGAGCCCCCAATGGGCTTTAATATTAGCAAGAATAAGATCTAAGCTAAGAGGTTCTTAGAGGGTCCCTATCAGAGAAACTTAGTGATATGGTGATTAAGAAAATGAGGAAATATTAGTTCTGGTGGGGGATTGATTGTGGATCCTAAACCACCAAAGAATCAAATCTGGTTGATAGAAACAAAAGGGAAGGCATGAGAACAAGGAAGCTCACATTTTCTGAGTTGGTGTGTGTGTGTATATGTGTGTGTGTGTGTATGTGTGTGTGTGTGTGTGTGCGTCCACGTGCTCACACATGCACGTGATCTAGAAGCTTAGCATACTTTGTGTCATTTATACATTTAAACTTGAGAGGTTAATAATTTGCTGACAGTTATGCTGATTTTGCTCAATTACGGGTATAAAACCAATAGTGGCAGGAAGGAAAATGCACAGAATTAGGTTTTAAAGTAGCCAGAAAACACAGTCATGTGAAATATTCCATTTCCTGCCATTACTAGCTAACCAGAATTTTTCATTACAAATAAGTATTGTGTATCCAATATGATTACTGTCTCTTTTTGTATGGATAAATGAAAAGTGACTCTTACCAAAGGTCTGTGTTGGAATGGAAAATAGGTTCTTTTGGCAGCCAGAGATATTTGACCCAGGTTTAAAGTAATTCATGACATGCATTGATCCAACCACAAATTTAAACCTCGTAATTTTTTTAATGGGTAGTCTTGACATTTTTTCCTCTATTTACTATATTTTCTGGGATTCTGAGGCAAACTTGCCTCATGGATTTTTTAGTTCTATCACTGTATTATTGGAAGACTTGCTTTAAATGTATTTTTTTTTTGTAAATACTACTAATAACAGAATTGCCTCTAGAACTATGACATTTACCTTAGGCAAATTCACTGTTATATGTTTGTTGTTGTGTTTTGCAGAATATTATCCTTTTTGAACTGGATTTTCCTATCCAAATGCTTAAATAATCATTTTATGGCTTGTGGGTTTTTTTTTAAATTCCTTTAGTTTGAGAAATTTCTTCCTATTGCCTGTTATTTCTCTACCATCAGTAGATCTTCCAGTTTTGCCAAGCTATCTAGGTGTTACACTTTTGATTTCCTCCTCATTTCCTCAGGTAATTTTTATTTGAGAGATGCTTTTGTACAATTTGTTTAAAATGACCCTTTTAGTTAGTCAAACTTTGTATCAGTATTTATCTTCCTCTTTTACTACCTACATATGCCACTCTGTACTTCACTTAGCTATCTGATCATATTGAATTGTTTACACTTCTATTTTTCAGTGACTTCTAGATCTGTAAGACTTCCCCCGTTTTCATGCTCATTCATTGCATTTACTGCAATACATTATTCCTTTATGTCCTGTACTTCTTTCCATGAAGAAAAATGGGGAATCTACCAAAGATGATATTTGCCAACTTGTGCCCAGAAATTAGTATTTGGTACCCTTGTGATCTATGATCACTAAATGTTTGAACTCTCAAAGTATCTTTGTATACCTCTATGCCCTGGGTCACATAAAAAATTTCCAGTCTAAAAGGGGTTGTAGGAAGAGAATGTTGAAGAAGCTTGTCCTAGGGGGACTTGTTAATAAGAGGCATTACTAGGTTTTGTGCTTGATTTTAATCCTGTTCAGAGAACCGAGAAAGTTCTTTGGCACAGAAGAGATGGGAGTGCCTTTCACCCCTCTTCGCACTTTCCTGCACTTCGAACTTTCCTGGGTAAGTAAGCGTTGCCATATTCCTGCTGTACCCACGTGCCTCTTCCTAGCTCCCCAGAGGCGTCATCTTTCTGACGGAAACAGTAGCTGGAGTAGCAGATTGCGCAGGATTCAAAAATCACATTGGGGTTGGGGGCAGAGAGCATCCTTCTGGGTCCCCTGGCCCCCAGTGATGCCGTCTTCTGATTGGTGGGACTCTCCTCTGGAGGATTGCATTCCAGAAACATTGAGTTGGTAAGAGAAGATCGTAATGTTTCCTGCATAACATTATGAATCACTTGCATTCCAAATTGCATCTGAAATTTGGGGTATTCAGGAAATTTTTTATTTGCTCAGTATGTCCCAGGAGTGGAGTAAATGAGAAACACTTGTGGCTATGTGGCTTTACTTGGTGGAAAACGTCAATACTTGGTCCAATTTTTTTGGACAAGGGATTAAGAATTTGAGGTCTGTTTTGGCAGAGGGTTGGAACTCCTTCTTGGAGACTTGATTGTATTTGGAGTTTTGCAATTTATTTGATTTTGGGGAAATTTGCTTTGGAAATGATGATTTAAGTATCCAAATTATTGGAGAAAGATCTTGTAAGCAAACAGTTGTTCCCACATGTAAATATTTCAGAAAAATCCATTGAACTGTGCTTTGAGACTCTTGAAAAATATTTTCAACTATTCTAGAAATTCCAAATGTGAAGAATGTGATTTAAAGTGAAGCAAAATCATCTTTAAACTTCATGTCAGTGAGGTAACAGGGCATTCTGCCGATCCCAGTTTAATCTCCAGCACTGCATGGTCTTGTACCCCTGACCCCATCTTCACTGGGGAGCAACACCTGGCCAAGACCTATGAGTATCCCCTGAGCATTGCTTGATGTGGCCCCAAACTGCCCTCTGCTAAGTTAGAATTTTTGTTTATTTATTTTGGGGTCACACCAGCTTTGCTCAGGGCTTACTCCTGGCACTTTGCTCAGGAGTCACTGCTGGAGGTGTTCAGGGGGACAATCCACAGATGGGGTGCTGTGAATTGAGCCCAGGTCAGCCACATGCAAGGCAAGCTACTCACCAGCTGTACTATCTCTCCATCTCTGCAAGTGAGAATTATTAAGCTCTATGAGCAGTGATTAATTCTGATTAAATATCGTTGGTTATAGAAAGAAAACATTTGCTTCTCTCAGTCTTTTGTAGGTATTAAAGTATCCCATCTTTTGGTAGAAAATTATTTATACACATATAGAGTTAGGCCATTTAAAGCAAAGGTCTGAATTCTTTGGACATTTCAGAGTTAGTGTTATATATCGCATTCCTATGGACTTAATTTTAGACATATTGTCCCTGGGACATTTGCACTATATTTTCACAGAAATGAAAAGGTGTTTTG